TAAATAGGATAATATTCAAATTTATATAACAAATATAATAAATCTTACATATCATACATATGTGTAAAAGTAAATCGAATGATACATTTTCGTGTGAGAGCGACTTCTCACTTTCGAACAAAAACAATTGCAAGTTCACCAAACCACGTGCAGTGGAAAGTCGCCCTCATGGGTGAGTTACAAGTTACGCATGAAATGCATGCTTATGTATCGTTTTATCCTTCTTTATTAATTGGTAAACAACAAAGACAAATGATGCTTCATGAGTAACTCGGAACGCACCTCATGTCTTTTGCCGCGTATGTTTGCCGTTCAAACCCTCTTTCTCTCTCTCTTTTGCGAGTTCGCTCCACTATTCTTTTATATTCTTTATTCATGAGTGACTAGTTGGTACGCGCTATAGATATACCTAGTCAATGCGAAAGAAAGCGCCATATAAAAAAAAAACAAAGAGTCAATTGTTTTAAATTTCTTTATGTTGGTATGATGCAACGCTTGCAAATTTATTTTCCTAAACAAATTTTCAATAATTTTAAGTAATTATTTTAAATATTTAAATGTTTGTGGTACTGGGTTTCAAGGCGCTCTCGCTAAGGCGCCCCGATACGCTGTCTACGGTGCTTACCACCTAAAACCGTCTATTTTAGAGCTCGGAAAAGGAATCGGGTAACATAAAATTCGAATACCGATCACAGATCCGTTACCCTTGCATACAGCTCTGGACTGAACCGCAGAACCGTGTACGATTCGAGTACTCACGGAACCGTGCGACTCGGGTAACCGCGTAATTGTGGCCGATGCGGGTACCCGTTTCGATGTGGGTATCCGCTACGGTACAGATATTTGCGTGTAACTTTGTCAATTTTAAAGGCGTTTTAAAATAGTTTATATTAATTTTCATTTTGTTTATAGTTAAACAGTTTGAATTAAAGATATACTGGTTGTACAGTAAGTACCTACAAGGCAAATTAAATTTGGAAATGTGTAAAATGCATAATACGAAAACGAAACAATTTAGATCTGGAATATTTAATCACAAACGAAATGAATCATTACAAACGACTGTAAAACACATCTTTAAAATTGACAAAACAACAAACAGATATTTGTAGTTTGTGCATATCTAGCGGATATACTCGCATCGAAACGGATACCCGTATCGCCCACGATACCTCGGGTACTTGTATCGCACACGGTTTCGTGGATACTCGCATCGTCCACGGTTCTGCAGGTACCCGAATTAGTAGGTATCCGAGGAATAAGTCTAGATCCGTATGTATAGATAACAGAGCGGGCGAACGGATAGTCGGATATTTCGAGCTCTAGTCTATTTACACGTATTGTAGTTGATGCAAAATGATTATAATTACTCGATAAGTGCTCCTGTTCCTTCTGTACTTTCGTACCAATTGTTAGATAAGTTTGATGAGTTAGAAGAATTATCTTCTGGATATTTTAGTCTTCTTAGCGTTGTATCCCTGTTTGCATCGTTACATAAACTTTCGTTATTTATTACGCTACTTGAAACAGATATCATACATTTATATATAAGGAATGATTAAAAAAGCAACAGAGGTAATTTTAATTATGTACACTACTCCACTACATGGACAATGTATCAGTTTTAAGAACCTTATTATATGAATATTTTGAAGTGATCAAGTACTTCTAGCAATCAAGTAGATTCAAATACTTTATTAATCTAATCATTTATGTGAAAAATTAAAATAGTATCGAATATTACTACTTCTTTTTATACGTGATGGTAGTAAATTTGAATTCGGGGATGCATTTTGTACTGAATAAAACTACAGAATATATGTGTACAAGTAATACACATAATGGATGTTTTTCTTTATATTTACTGACATGCATGTTGATATATTTTTGGATAAATGTACCGTAGACTGCGTTATATCTTCTTTAGTTAATATTGATAGTTTTATTACAATTAATTTTATACTGTTCAGTGCGTTTATTAATTTTTTGTATACATGGAGTATACTTACCTGTGAATTCCGTTTAAGTGTCCTTTTAAATTAGATACGCTTAAGCAACCAATTGTTACTTTACATATTACGCATGTTGCCTCTGTATCGTCTTTTAAGGTAAAATGGTCCCAAGTCCAATGATGAAGTCCTTTTTTTTTTTGATTGCACAAGTATCAAAACAGGTTTATAAGGTTTAATTGAGGTTGAAAGATATTCAAGGTAGGACTAAAATTTCAACTCGCGTAATAACTAAATTAATAGTTACCTAATTCATGGTATTTACTAATCAATACGAACGAAATTGTTTCAATGTATTTATTTTTTTGCGATTTAATTTTTTTTAATGAAATGTTATATTTACATTAATGTAAAATTACAAAAACGACTATTTTGACGTTTTTCAACTTAAAAACCCATTCTGTTTCAATTCGGTACATTTTTATCAAGAGGTAATAATATTAAATAGCCATAATTTATTTTGTTAATTTCACGTTGTTCTTTGATTTATTATATAATAATATGATTCGATTACGTATAAGTATAGTACAATAAATCAGTAAGTACACGGAAAAAAAATAAATTGAGTGGTACAGTAATCCTGTAATTTACTCCGCGAATTCAATATCTGTAACTAAGAAGATTTGATGGTTTAACAAATCGCTAATGTTATTCAGCTGTCAACTTTGCTACTTTAACATAGAAAATTGACTGTCTGTGTACTACAACTGTAGATTTGCTGAATCAATGAAGTTTTCAGCTGTGTCTTTTTTTCGTGTACAAAGTAACTTACTTACACACATATAGAATTAAGACGGAATAAAATATCTCCTTCATGTATTATAATACATGGGAAAAGATCTATATTATTATATCTCGAAAATGAAAAATCATACCGAAATAAACCAACATGAACATAAATGTTGAAAGTTGATGCATTAAGGTGTCATTAAAGGAATTTCATTCAGTTTCGAAATCGTCAATAAATGTAATCGTTTTATACATAATGGCGCAAATTAATCTTGTCGAAGGAGGTCAAAGCTTTCATTAAAGGATAAGTCGTCATCTGAATTAGTTGGTTCTACATATTCTGCCGAATCTGTATCGGAAAGGCTCTCCATAAAATGATCCATTGAATTTGAAGCGCTCGGTGCGAATCTGTGTTGAGATATAGGTGATCACAAAAATTTGATAAAGTGATAAAATATTTGGCATTTAATGTTATAATTATATTACTCGATAGTTATACGACTATTACTTTAACAGCTATTTTGGATGTAAAGATATGATCAATATAAGTATTTTCCTGACAAAGAGGGTTCTACAAAATTCTACAAAAAAATATAAATCTACTACAGAAAACTTCAAAAAATAACTGCTAAAGTATTCGAAAAATGCTACAAAAATTAAATAAAAATGCTACAATGGGAAAACGTTTGCAAAAAGTGTATATTTACCTACTTAGGAATCTTCTACGAATTTGGTAAAATTATTTTGATCTACTACTATAACATTTTATATATTTCCATATTTATTTAAATATAGTAAACTACAACAGATTACACTGGCGGAAGAAAAGTTTTTACGAAAAACCACAGAAAGACTATATTGAGACAAGAACTTAGAAATTCTTAATTTTTCGTAGATATTCGTATACTGAAAAAAATGCATGTAATTTTATATGGAAATTACACGTTCATGACTGAAGAATTGGCTAAATATATGATTGGAAATTTACAATTTCCAGTAAATTTCCAAGCATATTTATGTAATTTAGATAACTTTCCAGTCATATACATGTAATTTCCATGTAAAATTACATGCATTTTTCTCAGTGTAGTGGAACGTAGAGTGAGGTTTGTTGGGCTTAGAAATTGTTAGTTTTTCGTAGATGTTCGTGTGGGACGTAGAATAGCGTTGTTTGGGAGCGGAAGATTTCTAGATTTTTTTCAAACAAATAATACCGCTCTGCATCCCACTACGAATATATCTACGAAAAACTAATAATTTCCAAAATCCTGTCTCAATCTATGTACGTGGGTGTGAACCCACGTTACATAGTAACGTAACATAATCAAGTCAAACCGGGACTTATATTCTCATAAACATAAGCATAAAAGTACCGGTTTGGCTTGAACCGCCCATATAGTAATCAGGAATCGAAACGTACCTATGATTTTTTACTAAGATTTGTGAATATATAAATTTTATTGCATCCCTATTATTTACACCAATATTTTGTTATTGACTCCAAAAGGGCATGTTATCTCATGAATTGATTCATCTTTAATGGACCTTGATTCAACACTACTTAATTTATATCAATCTAAGGTAAATGGCCTAGTGTCCGGACACTTACACAAAATTTATTATTACAAATCTCAAATGCTTTTTTTATTGCAGTATTATAATTTAAATTGCATCTCAAGATTACAATTAAATTATAATATTACGTTTTAAAAAGTGTATTTGAGACTAATTAACTTAAATAAATAAAGTGTTATGTAAATGGACATAGGTTATGTCCGGACATAAGTACATGTCCAGTCACTGGGATCGGACAGTACCTATGTCCGGACAGTTACACAAAACTTTATTTATTATATTAATATTAATCTCAAATACTTTTTTTACCTTAAAGATCAATTTGAATTAGTTGTATTTTGTCATTAAACATCTATTTATATTATTATTTTCCGTCAGCATATTAATTTTCCAATTGTGGTCGGACACTGGGACAATTACGTCTCAGTGTCCGACCGGCTTGTCAGGCCACTGATACATTGACGCATTCTACTATTTATTTAAATATTTTAATTAATAATTGTTAAGGTTGTCAAATATCTCCCTTCCGCTTTTTTGTCTTTTGAATTTCGCGGCTATGTACAAAGCGCTACAGAGGTCGTATCTGGCAATACTATACACCATTTCAAAGGTCTTGACATAACCTACAAAACGACGCTATGCATGATTAGTTTGGATATTGCGTTCAACAGTTATAGACGTGTAAACATGGAGTTCACTAACGCCGAAATTCGCGCTATTTTAAAGTTTTCCTTCGTTAAAGGCAAATCCGCTAGAGAAACGTTCCGTGAGATTAATGGTGTTTTGGGGAATGGTACTCTATCACTTCGAACCGCGGAGGAATGGTTTCGACGATTCAGAGCCGGTGAAAACGAAACCATGGATAAGCCAGCCGGCGGAAGACCTGTGACGACGAATACCGATCAAATCATAGAAAACATCGAGTTAGACCGGCATGTGGCATCTCGTGACATCGCCCGGGAGATGGGAGTTAGTCACCAAACCATTTTAAACCATCTGCAGAAGGCTGGATACAAAAAAAAGCTTGATGTTTGGGTGCCGCATGATTTGACGCAAAAAAACCTTCTGGACCGAATCAACGCCTGCGATATGCTGCTGAAACGCAACGAACTCGACCCATTTTTGAAGCGGATGGTGACTGGCGACGAAAAATGGATCACATACGACAATATCAAGCGAAAACGGTCGTGGTCGAAGGCCGGTGAATCGTCCCAAACAGTGGCCAAGCCGGGATTGACGGCCAGGAAGGTTTTGCTGTGTGTTTGGTGGGATTGGAAGGGTATAATCCACTATGAGCTGCTCCCATATGGCCAGACGCTTAATTCTACCATCTACTGCGAACAACTGGACCGCTTGAAGCAGGCGATCGACCAGAAGCGTCCAGAATTGGCCAACAGGAGGGGTGTAGTGTTCCACCAGGACAACGCCAGACCACACACTTCGTTGATGACTCGTCAGAAGCTACGGGAGCTCGGATGGGAGGTTTCATCGAGTGAATGTTTTTATGCCAGGATAAGTACAAGTATATATTAAAATTAGAATCTTTGTAGATTTTCGTAATCTTTCGATGAGATTTATAATTTAAAAACCAACACCACGAGATACTACTATTAATCCATCTTACAGCAAGCGATGCATTTTTTTCTTGTTGGCTACGACAGATACATCATCTGAGTATTCTAGGGTACCATTTCGGTTTTGTTTAATACATGGTTAACAACAATGTTTAACGGGATTAACAACAAGGATAAACACATGAGACACACAGGCACGCGAGTAATATTATTAACCTTTGGAATACATAGAAGATACTTACTTGTGAATTCGTTTTAAATCTTTCAAATCAATGCACGTATGCACCTAATTGTTGCTTTACATTCTTTGGAAATTGTCTCTGTGTCGCTTTTTACGGCAAAATAGTTCTAAACTCAATGGAAATTAACTTATTTCTTCTCTTCTTCTGCTAATTTATCTGGATGTGCTTCTACCAAGTGCTTATGTAAAATAATTAAATGGCTAATACATACAAATTAATTTTTCATTACATTGATTGAATGTTGTTTCATTACTTCTTGCTAATTTTGTGTAATGTCCACATATCCAGCAATGAATTGGCATCAAATTATCCACTGCTTCCCTGTAAAAATAATTTCTAGTCAGCAACTTTTTATGGAGGTAATAGATGAAACAATAAATACACGTTTCACATAATAAATAAGTTATATTTATATAAAAAATTCCAAATGTTCAAATATTGAACAAAAAATGTTCAAATCATAAAGTTTATTTATGAGGCCGGTTCCAGCATCTTTGACGCTCTATCAAATAATTGAAACAGCTCTTCCCCCTTATATAATATATAAACGTGCCTCCAGATGCTATGGCCAATGAACGCTAGGTTGTCAAATATTACACATACAGACACATGACATGCACATGACAGACACATAATTATTCATGAATGTAGATCAATTTAGTGAATATGTGACAAGTTGGCTTATGTTGGCCAAATCGTCTTAAGACACTCTTAAGCCCGTAACAGACAACCGACTTTGCAGGTTGACCCGACTGCTGATTTTGACTGCCGATCACTAATAGACCAATCACAATAGGACTGATTCAATGTGACAGGTCCATTATTGGTCGGCAGTTTGGCCTTTAAGAACACTAAAATTTCGAATATAATCAATTCACACAAAATATCAATATATACATGTACCTGCAAAGCACGCCCGTGTTTGTATTATAAATTATGTATAATGGACAATTCTTTTTAAATATAGAAAAAATTATATTCTGTATTTTTATTCTGAATAATTAGCATAACTTTTAAATTTACGTAACAAATATGATGTATCTTACATGTCTTACACGCCCATATGTAAAAGTAAATTGAACGTTACGTTTTGGCGTCACGCGACTTGTTATTTTCGAACAAAGACAAACGAAAGCGCACCAAATCACGTGCAGTGGAAAGTCGTCCTCACGGGTGCGTTCCAAGATATGCATGAAGCGTATGATGTATCGTTTTATCCTTCATTATTAATTGGCAAACAACAAAGACAAATGCTTCATGCGTAACTCGGAACGCACCCCATGTCTCTCCGCGTATGTTCGTTTCTGCTTATCGCCTAAAACCGGTCTTCATTTTAGACCGGTATTCTTCATTTTAGTGCTCGGAAAAGAATTCGGGTAACGTAAAATTTGGATTCCCTCAGATTTGCAAGTACGAATAACGGAGCAAACGGGTGGGTATTCGGGTATTCGGGTATTCCGAGCTCTTGTTTACATGTATTGTAGCAAAGTTTAATTATAGCAAATTATAATTACTCGTTAAATACTCCTGTTCCTTCTATACATTCGTACGACTTGTTAGATAAGTTTGATGAGTTAGAAGAAACTTCTTGATGTTTCGCTCTTCTTAGAGTTGTTTCTCTGCATCGCCATATGAACTGTTCTCGTTATTTATGCCATCTGAACTTGGATCAAATATCCTATATTTATATAAGGAATGATTAAAAAAGCACTATAGGTATTATTTTCAATTATGTACACTACTTCAACTACGTGGACAATATATCAGTTTTAAGAAGCTTATTATACGAATATTTAAAAGCGATCAAGTACTCGTAGCAATCAAATAGATTCAACTGTTTTATCAACCTAATTATTCTCGAGAAAAATTAAAATGGTCTAATATTACTAGTTTTTTCATATGTGATGATAGTAAGTTTGAATTCGGGGATGCATTTTATACTCAATCAAACTACAGAATATACGTATATGTACAAATAATACGAATGGATATGTTTTAAATCGTATTTGCTAAAACGCATTTTGGTATATTTTTGGATTAATGTACCGTAGACAGTGTTACATCTTTTTTAGTTAATATTGTTTTATTACAATTAATTTTATACTGTTCAGTGCG